TGGCGTCGGGGTGCCAGGGGCACGCGGCGACTGGCCATCCAGATCCATGACATCGATGTCAGCCAACTCGGGGAAAAGAAGCGCGACGCCCCCCCGTCCTGGACAGGCCGCTGTTGGAGTAGAACGTCACGTAAGAATAAGAATATTCTGCAGAAGCCGCTGGAGGCGAGCTGCATTACCATGAACTTCCTGCGCGGCAATGATGCATCCCTGTCGCAGATATGGAAGGGGAAGTGTTAGCTTAGCTTGGCGACGACGACGGTCAATCGTGGGCAAACTGCAGGCGTTCCACGCGATAATCTTGAGGACCTGTTTGGAGTGACCAGTCCGCTGAATGTCACCCCCCAGAATATGGCCTCGTCCTTGTCGGAGAAGTCGAAGAAGCGCTTTTCCACAGCGGGGCAGTTGATACCACGTTGAGCCGCGAGTTCACGATCCCATTCAATCTGGGTAGGCATAACTGCGGTAGTGCCACTCTCTCATCGCGCCAGTGGAATACTGTCAAGCGCGACGCGACCACGCTGTTTGTAGGGCTTGAACGAGAAGTTGACATAATCAGATTCAAGAATCTTGCGGGGCCGTCGGGCAATAATTTCACGTCGGATTGGCCGGGCACTGCGGTCTGCATTGGCATAGAAAGGGACACGTTGTCCCAGCGCAGAGGTACTCGTGAAAGATCTCCAGTCACCCCCGCGTAGCTTGAGACCACGTGCAAGCGCCGTAGCTCTGGGGACGACCACGCTCTTGTCGCCGAGAAGCCGCAAGGTGAACCACTTGGCAGGTACGTCGCCGATAAGGAGAGGCATAGGCCCAATCGACGCCAGATTCTTGAAACCAGCCTTGAAGGTCATCCCGCTGTTGTTGAGGCAAGACGAGTTCTTGACATCCAATGGAGAACACAGCAGGGTCGGGTTGTCGATCAATTTCAGCTTCTGCGGCCAAGTCGACCACAGGTATGGCGGCTTCAGCGAAGGCTATTGTACGATTGATGCTGTCGACGGCTTGTCGATGGCGCTCTTGTTCCCCTTTCGGAAGCAGCGATCCTGCGCTTGAGGTCCGCGACTTCCCCCTCTGTGGCGCCCAGGCGCTGGTCCGTCTTCCGCTGGTACTAATGAATGGTGGAGGTGGGCGTCCGCGCCGTGGCCTTCTTGAAAGTGTCCATGGCTGAGTCCACATGTTGAGTCAGCGGGTCGTGCAGAGAGGCCGAGAGCGCCCCGATGGAGCCAGGAGCCGGAGGGTGTGGTGATGCCGCACCAGGAGGCACGTCGGTAGGTGGGCCTTTTCCTTGGCCCTTGTTTGCCATGGTAAGAGCCCGTGCGCGATCGATTTCGGCTTGCTGCGACGCAGGGAAGGTAGGCGGCTCTCCATCCTCCATGGCGGCAGCGAGAGCTTGACGCTGGAGTTGCCATGGATCGACTTGCTGGAGGGGATCGGAGCGAGCGGCATCTGGAACAGCTGCAGGAACAGGTCCCGTGGCGCCGCCAGGCACATGGGCTGCGCCACCTCCAGCTCTGCCAGACCGAGCGGCCACCGCACGTTCTCCTTCGTGTTGAGGGCGATGCGAGTCTTTGTCTCGGAGTCGGCCACCCGCTTCACCGCGAGGCTTGTCATAGTGCTTGGGGCGACGACGGGGAGGACGTTTGCCAGCACAGCGTGAGGCACTGCGATATCCAGCCGATGGAGCGGAGCCAGAGAGGCCGTCAGTGAGAGCGTGCCGCTCGGGTGTGCCATTCGAGGAAGTCCGAAATCCACGACGAGAGGGCCTCAATCGTCAGGAACTGCTCAAGGACGCAAGATAATATGAATATGCTGCTGTAAGCGAAGGATATGAAGGGTGCCAGCTCACCCGTGACTGTGGCTGGAAAGTCGACTGGGTTGGCCGCGGACTACCGGTATCCATTTCCTGCTTGCGCAAAGCAGACATCTTGAGCCAAAATGGTTACGGAGGAGGACGAGGAGGAGGAGGAGGACGAGGAGGAGGAGGAGGAGGAGGAGGAGGAGGAAGAGGAGGAGGAGGAGGAGAGGAGGAATGTGGGGGGGGAAGGGGAATGAGGGGGCCGATGCGCCTGCAGGCGCCAGTGCAGCAACACAATTGCCCGATACGTACCCAACTCCTGCTCCACGCGAGGCGAACATGTGTATGAACGCCCCAGACAACACAACCCATCTCCAGATATGCACGATCAGGGGTGCCAACACCGCGCTGTGCCTCTCAAGAGCGCACAAAAAGGCGACAATTGCGCAACTCGTAGCCTCCCAAGGAGCTGCGAAGTCTCTCTTGGATCCGCGTGGCCCCCGACTTCGCAGGACCTTCTAGGAGGCCACGAAAGTGGCGACAGCTGCGCAGTTCGCAGCCACCCAGGGAGCAAGGACATCTCAAATGGGTGCGCGTGGCCCCCGACCCCGCTGGACTTCCCATGAGCCCACGAAACTTGAGACAGTTGCTCAGCTCGCAGCCTCCAGGGGGGCAGCGAGGTCCCAGATGGGTTCGCGTGGCCCCCGACTCCGCTAGACCTCCCTGGAGCCCACGGAGGTGGCGACAGTTGCGCAGTTCGGAGCCACCCAAGGAGCTGCGAGGTCTCGTCTGGGTGCGCGTGGCCCCAGACCCCGCTGGACCTCCCAGGAGCCCACGAAAGTGGCAAGAGTTGTTGGCTGCTATCCAGGTAGCAGCGAGGTCTCGTCTGGGTGCGCATGGCCCCCGACACAGCCGTTCCTCAAAGAAGCCCACGAAAAAAAGGCGACGGTTGCGCTGTTCGCAGCCTCCCAAAGAGCTGCAATGTCTCGGGTACTCCGCTACTCCGCCGTGCCTCCCAAGAGCCCATGAAAGTGGCGACAGTTGCGCAGTTCGCAGCCACCCAAGGAGCTGCGAGGTCTCGGGTACTCCGCTACTCCGACGCCCCTCCCAGGAGCCCACGAAAGTGGGTGGCGACAATTGCGCAATTCGCAACTACCCAAGGGGCTGCGGGGGCTCGTGTAATTACTCCGCTACTCCGCCGTGCCTTCCAGGAGATTCCAGGAGCCCACGAACATGGCGACAATTACCAATTCGCAACCACCCAAAGAGCTGCGAGGCCTCGGGTACTGCGCGACTCCGCCGTCCCTCTCAAAAGCCTACGAACGTGGCGATCCAGGAGCCCGAGGAGGTGGCGACAGTTGCGCAATTCACAACCAGCCAAGGAGCTACGAGGCTTTGGGTACTCCGCTACGCCGCCGTCCCTCCCAGGAGCCCACGAAAATGGCGACGGTTGCGCAATTCGCAGCCGCCCAAGGGGCTGCAAGGTCTTGGGTACTCCGTTACTCCGCCGTGCTTCCAAGGAGCCCACGAAACTAGTGACGGTTGCCCAGTTCGCAGGCAAGCTGCGAGGTCTCGGTCACTCGGCTACTCCGCCGTGCCTTCCAGGAGCCCACGAAGGTGGCGACAGTTGCGCACTTCGCAGCCACCCAAGGAGCCGCGCAGGAGGAGGCAGGAGGAGAAGAGCAGGAACGGGTGTGCGACCGCAGTGCTCTATTCGAAACGAGAACCTCATGCGGGAGGGTTGAGAACAATGCCCAAGGCAGTGCAGCTTGGCCTGGCATGGATTAGCGCGACACTGGCAAACCGGGAGAGGAGCCAACTCAAACCGCTAGAACATGCATGACGATGCGCTCGCACGCCGTGCTTCAGAGGATGCGGTCAGTGCGGGACACACGGCACGAGTGCTGCTGCATGCAGCGCAGAACCACCCATACGCAGGTGGCATGCACCCATGAACCTACCACGCCAATCTTGTCGGTCAAAGTGACCCAGAACATCCCACCCCTTGAACCGCCCTGGTCAAAAGCGGTGGACTTGCGAAGGGACCCACTTGCCCCCGTCAAGGCAAGTTTTATGGGGACGCCAAGTCACCACGGGCGCCGCATGGGTGCCCCACAGGCCCAGCGGTCCCCGCTTTGGGGGCCATCCTCCCTCCCTTGTCCTCCCTCCTCCTCCTCCTCCTCCTCCTCCTCCTCCTCTGCTCCTCCTCCTCCTCCTCCTCCTCCTCCTCCTCCCCTCTTCCTTCCCCCTCCCTCCCTCCCTCGCTGCTGTCTCCCCGCTCCTCCTGCTCCTCCCGATATCCTCTCCTCCTCGCTCCCCCGCTCCTCCCTCGTGCCTCGTGACTCCCCCTGCTCCTCCTGCTCCTCCTCCTCACCGTCCTTCTCCTCCTGCTTCTCCTGCTTCTCCTCCCTGCTCTGTGTCCCCCCTCTTAACGGGCGAAGAACGGTATACCATAAACTTTTTCGCCGTCGGGGGCGCCTGTCGCAGGGCGGCTGGAAAGTTTATACCCTTACGGTGGCACCGTAGGGGTATAAACTTGTCAGCCGCCCAGGGACAGGCGCCCCCGACAACGAACAAGTTTATTTTATACCGTTCTTCGCCCGTTAACCCTCGCCCGCTCCATCGACGACACACGAGGTAAGGGGCGCTTGACTGCGGCGTGCCGGGTGGAAGGGAGGATGATGGGGGGAGGGGGGGGAGGGGAGTGGCGCGGGATGGGGGAGGAGGGGGAGACGGGAGAAGAGAGGAAGCAGGGAGCACAGAGCAAGTATGGGGGAGGGGGAGAGGACAGAGGGAAGAGAGGGAGTAGAGCTTCGACATGTTTCCGATGTTGTCGGGCCTTCTCGGGTGGTTGAAAGGGTTGTGAAGATCCAGTTTAGGCTTTCGAATGTTTTCTATCAAGGGCAGCTGGAGGAGCGTGGCCATGGAGGCGAGGGGGGAGTTAGAGGGAGGAGTGTGAGGGAGGAGAACAAGAGAAGGTCAAGAAGAAACATGAGGTGGAGGAATAGGATGATGATGAGAGGGAGGCGGAGAGTCATGAGGACGAGGGATGGAGGAGAGAAGGAGGAGAGAGGGGGGGGGTAAAGGGAGGAGGAAGGCTGGGGGATAGATGAAAGAGAGAGAGAGAGGAAGAGAGGGAGGAGGGGGCGGAGGAAGAAGTAGAACGAAGGAACCCATAGCTCCTTTTCAACTCCTGCCGGGCGACCACGTACGGAATTCCGTCGTCCTCGTCAGGTGCAGGGTTGCCCTCGCTGTCCTGCCAGGACTGCCCAAAAGCTGCGGGAGCAAGGAGAAGGAAGCCAGCCAGGAAAGCGAACATGTCGCAGCTCTCACGCGCAGCAGTGTTTTTCCCAACCATCCTGTGGTGTTGGGTCCTCGATTTGAAGAGACGGTCCCCGCGTTCCTCTTCTCCTCCTCCTCCTCCCCCTCCTCCTCTCCACCGCCCGCATGCGTCCCCCACACCCAATTTGGCACACCCCTCAGACGTTTCGTGGCCCCATCGGGAGCTCCACAGAACGCCCCAGTGCCACCGCCCGCACGCGTCCCCCACACCCATTGCAACACACCCCTCACACGTTTCGTGGCCCCATAGGGAGCTCCACCGACGGCCCGCGTCCCCAACACCCAATTTAGCACACCCCTCACACGCTTCGTGGCCCCATTGGGAGCTCCACCGAAGGGCCCAGTGCCACCGCCCGCATGCGTCCCCCACACCCAATTTGGCACACCCCTCACACGCTTCGTGGCCCTATAGGGAGCTCCACCGAAGGCCCCAGTGCCACCGCCCGCATGCGCCCCCCCCCCCACACCCATTTCAGCACACCCCTCACACGTTTCGTGGCCCCATAGGGAGCTCCACCGAATGCCCAAGTGCCACCGCCCGCACGCGTCCCCCACACCCAATTTGGCACCCCCCTCACGCGCTTCGTGGCCCCATGGGGAGCTCCACCGACAGCCCCAGTGCCACCGCCCGCATGCGTCCCCCACACCCATTTCGGCACACCCCTCCCACGCTTCGTGGCCCCATAGGAAGCTCCACCGAGGGCCGCAATGCCACCGCCCGCATGCGCCCCCCACACCCAGTTCGGCAAACCCGTCACACGCTTCATGGCCCCATACGGAGCTGCACCGAAGGCCCCAATGCCACCGCCCGCATGCGCCCGCCACGCCCATGTCGGCACATCCCTCACACGCTTCTTGGCCCCATAGGGAGCTCCACCGACAGCCCCAGTGCCACCGCCCGCATGCGCCCCCCACACCCAGTTCGGCACACCCCTCACACGCTTCGTGGCCCCATAGGGAGCTCCACCGAAGGCCCCAGTGCCACCGCCCACGTGCGCCCCAACACCCATTTCGGCACATCCCTCACGCGTTTCGTGGCCTGGCCCCATTGGGAGCTCCACCGAAGGCACCTGTGGCTGCGCTCGCATGCGCCCCCCACACCCATTTCGGCACACCCCTCACACGCTTCGTGGCCCCATAGGGAGCTCCACCGAAGGCCCCAGTGGCACCGCCCGCATGCGCCCACCGGACCTATTTCGGCACACCCCTCACGCGCTTCGCGGCCCCATCGGAAATTCCACCAACGGCCCCAATGGCTGCTTTCGCATGCGCCCACCGGACCAATTTTGGCACACCCCTCACACGATTCGTGGCCCTGTAGGGAGCTCTTCCGAATGCGGTGCACACAACGACGGTACTCACAACTGCATATGATTGGGTCCTTCGCCTGGCTCATTTTTGTTAGTTCGGATCAGCACTCTGGGTCACGCTGCTTCGTACCATTGTGCCCTTAGCGGGTTCGAGCCTCAAGCCTGTGGCTGACTGCATATGCACATCAGGCTCTGGGGCTGAGACAGGTGCAGAAGATATGCCTCCACCTTCGAACCACAAACAGTCACACATTCAAGGCCACAGAGAGCGAGGAGAAGGAGTAGGAGGATGAGGACTGTCCACCGCGAGCGGCAAGGACGACGTGTAGGAAGAGAACGGGGCACGATGGGGGGGAGGCGGAGCAGGAGGATCGTGCACCACGAGCAACAAAACAAGCAGGTTTACACATATAGCCCCTCGAATCCAAAATCCCAAGTCTTCCAACCTGAGGGGGTTGTATGGTTCCCAGCGCGGGTCACTATCCTTGTGGGTTGCTCCCTGCTTGTGGGTAGAAGCGCCTCTCGTGCTTCGCATTCGTTTTGCTCTCATACATTGCCAATGGTTATGTACAAGTTTGTAGCTTGGCTCATCGTTGCGTGCTCTGTCTCTAATGTGCGTGGCCACAGATGGCAGTTGACAACAAGCCTGGCGTGATCTACTTTAGCGATTCGGTGTGAACCCTGAAGCAATCCCCCTTCGGCCTTCTTCCTCCTTTCTCCTTCCTCCATTCCTACCCCTCCTCTCTCCTTCCTTCTCCCTGCTCCCCCCTCCTCAACCTCCTCATCCTCATTGTCCGCGTCCAGTCCTTGGAATAATCGAGCAGCTGCATGAACAACCTGCAGGACGGAGACCGAGGATAAAGAGGATGAGGATGCGGCCGCGCACTTGAATTACGACAAGCAGCTCGGCGAGGAGGACGAGGGGGGGGGAATGAGAAGGCAGGGGTATGATGATGGTGATGATGATGATGATGAGGATCTGGATGATGATGATGATGACGATGATGATGTTGCTGTTGATGGTGATGATGACGACGATGCTGATGATAATGA